TTGCAGGACCAAGTCTTGGTGGGGGAACAGAAACTCGTATCCTTAAATACACGTACGGAGTTGGGATTTCCGATTCAGGAGACCTGTCTCGTCATCGTCCTCGAAACATCTTTAAACGTCTTGCTCAGCGTGGCACGGAAGTACTTATCGATTCTAAATTTGGATGTGAACTATCATACCGTAATCAGGCGGCACAACTGAATATCAGCATATACACCACTTGTGAAGATACAGCAAAATATTGTGACGACCCCGGCGTGGAACTGTTTGGACAATTGTTAATTGGTAAGTCATTGTTGATCAGAGATAGAGAGTAGTGTATATTAACGACTATGTTGTTGTAACTTTTTTTTTCCTATTCTTATCATTTACTGTATAGAGTTACTTAACGTTCCTGACGCTAATCCCGGACCTGCTCGGTCGGTAGACTTTAGCCTTATATTTGGAAAAACGGGTATAAGAGCACAGGCTAAAGACAAACTGACTGGGAATAAATCTGAAGCTTTATTCGCTCTTAAGCTATAAATTAGTTATCGATTTGCGACTCGTAAGGAGATGGTGAATGCTTTTTTTTTATTTTTATCCGCAATCTAATAAAGTACAGTACAAGAAAAAGTTTGACAGTTCAACAGCTATATGTAAAGGATGCAATAGTTTGTATTATATTGGTTAGCTTAGCTTTCCCTTCTCGTTTAAATTCTGTCACATTAAGTGATAATTTGCAGTCACAATTTTGTACGACTTTTACCAGTTCTAAGTTAGTTTTAGCAAGCAATACATATGTTGTCAAATTGGGGGACCAATGACTTATATAAAAATAGGTTGGCGGAAAAGTAAGCTAAAGGTGAAGATGAAAGGGTTAGATACATTAACCCTAACCAAAATTGACCACCAAAATTAAAGAGGTCTATAATTTACGAGTGAATTGCTGTAAATTCATACCCTTTTGCTCCGCCTTGAGCCAACAGCTAAAGTGAAATTTCAATGCAACACAATGCTGCAATACAAACCCCACAATAACATTTGCCGCCATTTCAAAATTTCTGGTAAATTGGCCGCCTCAAACTCATTTAGTCAATATTTCCTAATTGATATTTATATTGACAGTAGTGTAGGTTCCTCATAGTGTAGATAAAAGTATATTAATACGTACCATACCGATATAAATAAAGACCTAGTCAAAGTTTTTTTTTGAAAAAACGTTACGACAATTTTATCTTCGCGACCGGTCCTTTATAATTAATGACATAGTCGCATTTATACTTTCGGGTGCACGGCAATCGTTAATATTGTAAAGTTACTAGTACCTCTCGATTAATATACAATAATCTACCTTTAAAACGATATCAATCTTATTGATATTTTATTAAAAAGTTTTAGTAGCTTAAATTCATATGCGAGCTTATTGCAAATATTGAAACTCACACTTTATTTCTAATCATCGACAAACACATTACCCAATTAAATTTATACATATCCGGAAGTTAATAAAATAACATGATTTTAAACTTTTCCCAAAATTTTAAAATTGACCGGTAATTTTATTTTCCGTGACAAAGTACCGCTTAGTTTTAAGATATGGTCTGTATGAGAAGTTGTGTGTTTATCGACAAATCTTGTGTTGGTTTTATATATGATTAGTGAGGAATTACCCGCGAGGTCGCACAACCCGTCATGTTGTACAGGC